TATTTATTCACCCAAACCATATTTGGTATCAATGTTATACCTAACATCTGAAAAGCAAGAAATCTCATATTTTTTATTAATTGCTTTATTGATAGATGTATTTAAAATTATTGACTGCCTATCTGAAGTAGATCTTGATGGTGCACAAAACTAAAAAAAAATCCCATCAAAACAAAGACATTAAATCAATAGATAGCCTAAATTACAATGCTCTATCAAAACCCATCAAACAAACTTTGGGGTCTTAACCAAATAAACATCAACCCAGGTCTTGGGCAAGGACAAGTTTCCAAAGAACCATAGGAAAGGGGGCATGATCATCAATTTAGGAGGCATGTTGAGGGACCACAAGAGAGTATACATGCATCCTAGATGCCACATGATGTCAATATTTAATGGAGGAGTCATAGAGCCTACTCTACTGGAACATATTGGGTGGAGAGAAACAATCAGAGACAAATATAAATCATTGATGGCCAACCCCAATGGCCAACGTTTCAAACATTGGTTGAGTAAAAAAGGAATTGCAAATGCAACTTGAATTTAGATTCCACATCTTGCATTCCCATTTTACTGAGGCTTGTGTATATCTATGATCACAAACCTCACATTATGTGGTCCATGATGATCATCAGCTTTAGCTGATGAAATCCTAATTATTGAATGTATAGAGAAAATCTGCAGATGTCTGTCTGTCTGCTGAGTGCTTGAAAATTCTGTGGCAATTATTCTTAGCCTTTAGCCCACATGGATTTTAAACTTAACAACTTGCCACAATTGTCTATACAAAATGATGCAGCTCATATGTGTACACATCATATTCACAAAGTTGTTTGCTAACACCCAAGTTTCTATGATATATTAAAACCCTATGGAAAAAGGATTTTTGTTGGAATTATTAATTTTTTCTCTTTATTAATTGTTCTCTATTGTTTAGTTCTGGACTAAAAATAATTATGTAGCATTTGGGGAAATATACACAGACAAGCAATCCAGCGCTAGAAGCCAAAATGGAGAAAACCTCCACAGCAACCATATATTTGCCTTTGGTGCTCAGGTAGGAAGGAACAAAAGAGAGCCACACACTACAGAAGATCAGCATGCTGAATGTGAGACATTTGGCCTCATTGAAACTGCTGGGGAGATTCCTGGAGAAAAATGCTACCATGAAACTGGCAGTTGCTAGAAAGCCCATGTAGCCCAGGACACAGTAAAACATAACAGCTGAGCCTTCATTACAATGTAGAATGATTTCTTCCATTTCTGAATGGGTGTCAACATCAGGGAAAGGGGGAAACGTGAACAGCCACACTGCACAGATGCCTGTTTGAATCAGGGAACCAGAAAGAACTATGAAGGTAGCCAGTCCTCTTCCCATCCAGTTCCGCATCCTTGATCCTGGCTTGGTGGCCATGAAAGCCAGAACTACAATGATGGTTTTTGCCAACACAGAAGACACAGCTACTGAGAAGATGATGCCAAAGCTAATTTGTCTGAAGAGACATATTATGTTGCTGGGTGCAACAAGAAACTGCAGTGAGCACAGGAAGCAGAGGATGAGGGAGATGAGTAGAAGGTAGGTGAGGTTTCGGTTATTGGCCTTGACAATGGGAGTATTGTGATACTTCAAAAATGTTGTGAGTACCACAATTGTGCAGAGAGTAAAGAAAAGTGCAAGAGTAAGTAAACTTATTCCCATTGCCTCTTCATAGGACAAGAAAATTATTTTCTTTGAAATACACGAATCTTGGTTTTTATTTGGATATTGATCTTCAGGGCATTTTGAACAGTCATACATATCTACAATTTAAATGTATAAATGTATAAGTATTTGTTTATTAGTCATACTATTATTAGAATCATCACAAAGGTTATTTCTGGAAGCAAGACTGATTAGAATGCAGTACTGCAGGCTATTTCTGCTAACTGTTGTCTTCCTGCAATTTGCCAGTTTGAATCTCACCAAGCTCAAAGTTGATTCAGCCTTCCATCCTTCTGAGTTTGGTAAAATGGGGAGCCAGATTGTTGGGGGCAATATGCTGACTCTATAAACTGCTTAGAAAGGGTTGTAAAGCACTTTGAAGTAGTATATAAGTCTAGCTGGTATTGCTATCTTACTTTTTCTCTTGTATTTGGGACATAAAAAATGTAGGAGAATATAGGAAAATATTAGTTCTTCATGAGTTTATTTCAGGTTGCTTATTTAGTTCTCTTGCTTCAAATCTCCAAGGTCATTTCCACCTTTATTGTCCTGTTAACTTTCTATTTTTTAAGTTAGTTTTATTGCTACATCTATCTTCAACAAAGTCTTGAATAAAATATTACTAAATATAAATATATCCATTTTCTTGCTTTCAGATAATTTATGTTTAATGTTCTTCAATTCTTTTATTTCTGTATGATAAAACAAAATTAATGCTCACAGTCATGAATACAACTTTTACTAAAGGTAAAATGGAAAGGCGTTACTGATTCTCCTTACATGAAAAATTCTGAAGCTTTCTGAATAAGGTAGAAAAGATTTTGTGAACATTAGAGTAATTTTTTTAAGGAGACAATAATCTCTGTTTAAAAAAAAACAGAATACTTTCTTTATCTAGCAACTGCCTTAGATAGTGACTGCTCACAGTTAGGAGAGTCATGAAAAAGTAACTGTGTATATTACAACCTTTGCAGCATACATCTTCCAGACATATGTTTGCTATTAGTCTGTTAGTTCATGCCATACCTGACTCATCTCAGAGCAGAATTGTTTGAAGAAACTGCTTTTTCTGAGCTCCAGCAAAAGTGCTAACAATTGTTAAGAAACACATCTCTGGACAGTAATTACTTAATTAGAAACATCCACATAGCTCACACTGCTGCCTTACATTCCCAAACCTTAATCAGTTCAATACTAAAGGCTTTTGTTTTCCTTCTAACTGCCCAAACTATCTTCCTTCCAAAGTACATTCCTCATTGTGTGCCTACTTATGCTCTTGCATTCACTTCTTCTCCAATGAATGTAAGTACAAATATCAAGTACCTTCTTGCTAATTTTCCCAGCTTTGGGATAAACATTTTAAAAATGAGAGAATGAGTAAAAGGGATTACAATTAGTCCTTATTTAGTGACTGCCTTGTTTAGCAACCATTCCTACAACCATTCCTCCATTACAATAGTAATAAAAAAAGAATTTTGTCACCAATCCTTACATTGAAGATCTGTAGAGAAAAGGAAAACTGAAATAACATGGTAAGAACAATTGCTTCATTTAATGGCCAAATAGCAAGTTCCAATTGTGACCACTGAATGACAACATACATTTTTTAAATCAACTCTGTTAAGAGCTTGGGATTTTGTAAAATTTATCAAGATTTTTTAAATTGGAAGTTGTATACAAATGTTTTAGATAAATGCAAAAACTAGTCAATGTGCCCTGGAAAAGATATATGTTGAGTCACCTAGGTGCCATATGAAAACTTTGCAGTTTACATCAGTGAAACCCTTTAAATTCTTAATTCTGCTGGAGGTCTTTCTTTGAAAAAGTTGGGGAATTATTCTTTATTGCAAGGGCAAAATCTCTTAACTGATAAAAATATAATTCATGTCTGGTACTTATATGTTCATGGATATGCCTCGGGTGACCTGCAGAACAATAAAGAAATTTGATTTACCCTTCTGGCTTGACATTTTCTCTTTGGGACATGGGAGACAATCATAGCAGCAAAAAGGCTTCTCGTCCTGCTTTTTCTTAAAATATCCAGGTAGGCAGCTCTCGGTACACACTGAAACAGGTATGGTCTGTCCAATAAATGAAAGAAAATGTTAATCATGTATTTTGGGGAAAAAGTTGAAAAATCATGATTTAAATTCTACAAATAAGGTTTCAATTGTAAGAATCTGAGGTGTTTTTTTTCATGAGTTGTATTACCAAAACTACTCAAAATTGATTATTTTTTTCAATTCTGTGAATTATATAGGTAACCTTAATTGGAAATATGTTACACTCTGACTATTCCCTAGTGCTGGAATTATTTCAGTGGAACTAAAAGAAAAAGGGTTTTTTAAGACACTGAAAATATCCACTCACTGTTGCATAATAGAAATAATTAAATGTAGCCTAATTAAAGAGGAATACATTTTTCAGAGTTATTTAAATGAAAAAGAATGTAATGCAGAATACAATTAAATATTAGAAAGAAATCTATAAGAAAGTGATGGCTATAGAAGTAGTAGAAATCATACTGAAAAGAGATACCAAACATTGAATAAAACTGCAGTTGTGGAGATTAACAATAGCCAATTGTCAATAATCAAATTTATACCCAATGGTGAGCAATTAAAACCATCAATACAACTTAGATTTTTAAGTGGGAATTCTTAGTTAATAAATTTAAAAAAGGAAAGATAATATTATTTTTCTTTAATTTGCTAATGAGAAAATAGTTTTTAGTATTAAGATTTTATTGTTTTTAGGTTTTAGAAAGTAGAGTGATATAGAGATAGGAAAATCTATTTTTCAAACTTTAATTAATTGAACTCCATCAATAAATTTAAATAATTAACATTTAATTAACATTACTAAATAATAAAAGGAATCTTATAAAGTCTTTATTACATTTGATAAATTTAATGAAGGGTAAATCTGATAAATCTCAATGTATCATTAAATTTCCAAAGAACTTATAAAATATATGATTATTATTAGCTCAATTCTTTACTATTTTTAATATCTTGTGGCAAAGAGGAGTCAAAATAATAAAAAGAAAACACTTATAGGATCTCATTAATTTATTCCTTCTTAAATTGGAAATAGTGGCTCATAATATACAAAAATAAATGCAATTTTTAATAGAATTTATCATAAATATTATCACAAAATATTTTAGGTTTAAAGGAATGTTGAGATCAGAAACTTGAGAAACTACAGTCAAAAAGTATAAATTACATATGTGTTTATCTACAGGTACTTTTGATTATTTTAACATGGTTACAATTTATATAAATATTGAATTACATAAGAATTTGAAGTGCAAACAAACTGATGTAGTAGGCGAATGTAGGGAAATATTTCTGAAGTAGTTTCCTAAATGGTACTAGAAAATTGAGTTTAATAATAGGAGGAAGAACTCCAGAGGTTTAGGTTTAGAACTACTCCTAGGATATCATTTCAAACATTTCAGATTGAGCCCACTTGATTGAAAATGCTGGGCCAATTGATGGCTTCCTCATGAATAGTGAACTTCTTGTCTTCAGTAGCCCAGGGATCCAGCTTCCCAACTTTCACTCGATGGAAAGACTGGTTGGGAAATGTGACCCAGTTCTCAATCTCCAATCCTGTAATCAGTTTTCCATTCTGATCAAAGGAAATTTCATCCCCAGCACTGTTGTTAAATGAGATTCTTTTCAAAAAGAAGTGAAGCTGAATATGAAACAAATATGTGAAAAAAGCAAGATTAATGTATAGAGCTATAAGGCAGTAAAGCTGGGATAAAATGTAATAAATAGCATATATATCTTTTTTATATGTAACATGTTATGTATCTGGAACACTATTTCTATTCTAAAGTCGTAGGTGGTATTCAGCAGGTTCTGACCAGTTCTGGAGAACCAGTAGTGGAAAATTGAGTAGTTCGGACAACTGGCAAATATCACCTCTGCCTGGAGATTTTACAGTATTCTTCCCCTGCCACACCCACCAAACCACGTCCACAGAACCAGTAGTCAAAATTTTTGAATTGCACCACTGTCTAAAGTGGTAGACTTTCTCTCAAGGCATAATTATCTATGATTCTTGATCCAAAATCACTCTTATAGTCTACTAGATTTCAATCATTAAAAATAAATAAAGTTCAAGAAAACCATACATATTTTAACATGCAAAAATATAATGTATTAGGGAAAACATGTTATTCAACAAATAAATATTATCAAATAATAGATTTTTGCCATAAATTTAACAAACTTGTCTCCTGTTGTTATTAGAAACCATCTGATCAGGGGAGATCAGATCACTTTCAAATGAGAATAATACTTAGAATTGGGTTATTAAATCACACATGTATAGCATGTTTACCGGAGGAATTGAAGGGAGGCAAAATAGATTGAAAGCTATTTGAATCAGATTGAGAATACATAGGAAAAGAAAGATTCCTTTATCATAGGAAAAGAAAGAAGGAGAATGGAAAATGCTGCAGAAGTGGTCTCAAGAAATTATTGCTTTGGCCATTAGGCCAAGAGATTGAAAAATAGAGAGATTATCAATTGCCATACCAGTTCTGTCTATCTTTATTCATTCCTCCCTTTTCTCTTTCCTTCTCCCTCCCTGTATGTCTCTGACTTTTTCTTTTAAAAAGCAAGCTCACTAATTCCCATATCTGATTTTTTTCTCTGTCTCTCTTTTCTCTTCTGTTTTCCCAAATAATGTCTCTACCTTTTTGCCTTTAAACAGAAATAGATATTTCACTGGGCGTTGCATGGATGCCTTCTAAAGGTTTTCTGTTTTGTTTTGCTAAACTGTATTATTTCCAATCCTTTTCTACATTGTATGCACAATTTGTCTTTGCAGAATTAAAAAAAAAATCTGGTAACATTTTTATCCCTTTTCCCTTTTTGCACAATCCACAACTGTCTACTTTCAATTGCATTTTAATGGCTCTCATTCCATTTTCTGTCTTTACTTGTGTTCACAGGAGAAATACAATTTAGATGGAAGCTGATCTACCTTCTCTACCATGGCTAGACTCCAAAGAACAATGGAAAAAACTGTCCATTAATAAATAATAATAAATAATTATATTATTTATTAAACACACACACACGTACACATGCACACACTGTGTGCACAATTATTAGACAAACTGTATTTTTAAGAATTAATTTTATTATTGAACAACTACAGTGCTCTCAGTCAATCCAAAATGTTAATAAACCTCAAACCTGAATATTTAAAAAAGTAAAACTGAGGTTATGGCTTTCTCAGGAGAATATCTATGTGGCACAATTATTGGGTAATTATTATTGTGCAGAATTATTATGCAACTAAATGAAAAATGAAAATGTATGCGCAACTTTGGAAGGAGAAAAGGATACCATCAGAGGGCATGGTTATAAAGAAAATAATAGATTATACAGAGAGGGAGAGGCTAACGTTGAAATTAAAAAACAAAGAAGATTCAATATATTACAGAGCCTGGGATGCCTGGGATGAGTGGTTTAGAAATAAAAAGAAAATAAAATGTCAATTAGAAAAAGAATGAGAAATATGTAAATATATATATATATATGTGTGTGTGTGTGTGTTATAGAAAAGATTGAAGTGCAAGATGGAATATATTGATTTGTAACAAGAGTAAGATGTAACGGTAATGGAATAAGTAACCATATATTGAAAAAAGTAAGGAAATGTAAAAGATGTCTTGATGTTGATAACAGTGCATATAGTTTTATTTTATGTTTTTAAACTTTGGAAAATTAAAATATTAAAAAAGAAAAAAATGAAAAATTTGCCATCTCACTCATTTATTTTCATATGTTAAAGTGAGAATAATAAAAAACAACTCAAAATTTACAAATAAACATTTCTGACAGTTCAAAAAATCAATGACCAATATAGCCATCCTTCTTTTCAATAACAGTCATAAGCCTTCCATTCATGGAATCTGTCAGTTTCTTGATATGTTTGATGATCAACTTTTTGTGCAGCAGCAATCACAATCTCCCAGACACTGTTCAGAGAGGTGTACTGTTTTCTTTCACCATAAATCTCCCATTTAAGAAGGTTCCACAAGTTCTCAATACAGGTTAGGTCAGATGAGGAAGGGGAGCATGTCATTATTTAAGGCCTTTACTGGCTAGCCAAACAGTGGAGTATTTTGATGCATGTGATGGAGCATTATCCTTCATAAAAATCATGGTGGTCTTGAAAGATACAGACTTTTTCCGGTACCACTGCTTGAAGAAAGTGTCTTCTAAAAACTGGCAGTAGGTTTGGGAGTTGATTTTGAGTCCATCTTCAACCCTAAAGGTCCAACTAACTCATCTTTAATAATACCAGCCCGTACCAGTACCCCTCCTGCACCTTGCTGGCATCTGAATTGAAGTGGAGCTCTGTGCCTGTTACTGATCCAGCCACAGGCCCATCCATCCGATCCATCAAGAATCACTCCCATCTCATCAGTCCATAAAACCTTTGAAAAATCTGTCTTTAGATATTTGTTGGCCCAGTTTTGCTGTTTTAATGTATGTGTCTTGTTCAGTGGTGGTTGGCTTTCAATTTTCCTTACTTTGGCCATGTTTCTGAGCACTTAATATCTTGTACTTCTGAGCACACCAAGTAGGTTGCAGTTCAGGAATATGACAGCACTGGAAGATAATGGATTCCTGGGAGCTTCATGTTTGATTCTTCTCAAATCTTTGGCAGTTAATGTGTCTTTTTTTCTCAACATGTTTCTTCAACCCTGTTGACTATTTGCAACAAAATGTTTGATGGTTTTGTGATCACACCCCAATATCTTAGCAATTTCAAGAGTGCTGCATCCCTCTGAAATATTATTTTACAATTTTTGACTTTTCAGAATCAGATAAATCTCTTTTTTAGCCCATTTTGCCTGAGGAAAAGAAGCTGCCTAATAATTATGCACACCTTGATATAGGGTGTTGATCTCCTTAGGCAACACCCTCCTTCATTACACCAATACACATCACCTGATATGCTTATGCCAACTAAACATTCAAGTTTATACAGCTTGGAGGTGGAAAATATGCATAAAAATGTTGACATGGT